ACTAATAGTGATATTGTCACAGGACTGAGAACGGGTTCCCAACTCAGGTTTGGCTGCTCAATCCTTGAAAATCAATACCCAAGAGACAAGTGATGGTGGGAAAAGAATAGTTGCTTTATTCAGGAAGGTGGTAACTTGGGTACAGGGTGGGTTAAAGTCTCAAAGACCATCTTCTTCATCCAGGGGAAGCTGGAGGGTTTTCAAGAGAGAGGAACAGAAAAAGGAGGAGGCTATGTGCAGAAGAAGCAGGTGCCCAGACCGTTAGTTTTTTGCCTACATGACCCTTACAGACCTGCTGGCATCAGTATCTACTGTTTCTGAGTGTGGTCAGATCTTATCTTCTGGGAAAGTTGGGTCTTTCACTCCTCAAGGCCAGTGGTCTGCAAATTGCAAGGAAAGTAAGTTAGTTCTACTGTAGATCAAAAGACTTAGGTCAGTAAGCAAGGAGTGCGTAAATTTGAAGCAAGTTAACACTTAAGGCCGGTAGGGCTGCTGTTACAGATCCTTAATCCTATGACTGGTGTCCTTAGAAGAGAAAGGGGAGAGAGATTTCAGACTCAGGGAAAAAGCCACATGAAGACACAGTCAGAGACTGTGCTGCCATAAATCAAGGAACACTGGGAGCCACCAAAAGCTGAAAGAGCCAAAGGATTCTCTCCCAGAAACTTTGTAGCAGGTATAGCTAGGCTGATACCTTCATCTCATACTTTTAGCCTCTAGTGAGAGGATAAATTTCTGGTTTTGTTTTTGTTTTTAATTTTACTGTTTATTTATTTATTTATTTATTTTAAAAGATTTTATTTATTTTTTTTGACAGAGATCACAAGTAGGTGAGGGGGGAAGCAGGCTCTCCGCTGAGCAGAGAGTCCAATGTGGGGCCCGATCCCAGGACCCTGGGACCATGACCTGAGCCGAAGGCAGAGGCTTTAACCCTCTGAGCCACCCAGGCGCCCCTACTTATTTATTTATTTTAAGTAAACTCTCCCCGCAATGCGGGGCTTGAACTCATGACTCCAAGATGAAGATTCACATGCACTACCAGTTAAGCCAGCCAGGAGCCCCTGAATTTCTGTTGTTTTAAGCCACCACAGTTTTGATAATGTGTTATGTCAACTGTAGGAAACTAACAACCCTTTACCAAAAAAGGAAATACTGCTAATCTCTATTTGGAATTGTGTCTTCTCAAATAGTGACCATCCTACCCTACTCCTTCCCCATTATTGCTGTCTTTCCTTTTATTTCTATATGTAGTGCTTATTCCCTTTCAGTTTTTGGAAGTATGTTATACAATATTTGAGATATACAGAGAAACATAAAGAATAATACAACTATCCTTTTATCCAAAGTTGGCTATAGTTATGAAACAATGTCAAAATATTTGAATCCTCAGTATATCGCTCCCCTCTTCTCCATCATCTCTTAGGGGAAATCATGTTCCTGAATGTGGGTTTATTCCCAGGCACCTCCTGATCCCCTTACTAGAAGTGTGTTTAGCCCCAACCAATGCATTATATTGTTGCACAATTTAAAACTTTGCAAAAATGGTGTTGTGCCATATGGATTCTTCAGCAACTTTCACTTATTTCATTTATTTGTGAGATTTATCCATGTTGGAATATGTTCCTCTGATTCTTTCATTTTCACTTATGTATACCATTCTGCTGCATGAAAATAAAGTCATTTTCTTGGTTTTGGACACTTTTAGGTTTTATTAATTTTTTCTATTCAAACCATGTCTCTCTTTTTTTTTTTTAAAGATTTTATTTATTTATCTGACACAGAGAGAGAGAGAGAGATCACAAGTAGGCAGAGAGGCAGGCAGAGAGAGGGGGGAAGCAGGCTCCCCACCGAGCAGAGAGCCCATCGCGGGGCTCAATCCCAGGACCCAGAGACCATGACCTGAGCCAAAGGCAGAGGCCTCAACCCACGGAGCCACCCAGGCGCCCCCACACCATGTATCTTATACTTAGAGTGTAGGCACAATCATCCTCTAGGATATATGCTTATTCATGGATCCTATAAGGATATAGGATATATATATCCTATATAAGGATATATCCTTATTCATGGATCCTATGTGCCCTATATGCACATCAACACACTTTTAGTTTTTAAATTTTTGTCAATTTGAAAGCCATGAAAGGAACCTCGTTTGCTTTTTTTTTAAATATTTATTTATTTATTTTAGAGAGGGGTGGGAGGGACCCAGGGGGAGGGAGAGGGAGAATCCTCAAGAAGACTCCTTGCTGAGCACAAAGTCTGATGCACAAATTCATGTTCTCTGATATTTTGCTCTTTATATTTTTAAGTTTTGCTTTTTGATGTTTATATTTTTAATACACTTGGACTTCTGTTTTACTTTATGGCCTGAAATAAAGAATTCTTTTCTTTTTTTTCTTTTTTATATAGATAAACTACGGTGTTCTAGCACCATTCATTGAGAAAGTGATCGTTCCCACACTGATCTGCAGTACCAGCTCTGATCTATGTCAAGTTTTTGTATGTGTGTATATTTTAGTTGTGTATTGCCACACAACAAATTACCCCAAAACTTTGCAGCTAAAAACAACAAAAATTTGTTATCTGATAGTTTCTGTGGGTTAGGAATCTGGGAATGATCTAGATGGATTGTTCCGGCTCAAGGACTCTCACAAGGTCAAAATTAAGGGGTTAACCAGGGCAGCAGTTACCTCAAGGCTGTACTGGGACAGGAACTGCTTCTAAGCTTACACATGTGGCTGTTGGTCAGCTTCAGGTCCTCACTGGCTGTTGACAAGAGACCTCAAACAGTTCCTTGCCACATGAGTCTCTCTACAGTGTTGCTTACAATGTGGCAGCTTGCTTACCCTCTGAGTGAGAGACTGGAGAAAAAGAAAGTGAGAAAGTGCTCCCAAGACAAGACTCACTATATAATCTAATCTCAGAAGTGGTATCCCATCACTTCTGCCATATTCTGTTCTTTAGAAGTGAGTCACTAAATCCATACTCGGGGGGGGAGGGGATAACATAAGATTGTGAATGCCTGGAGGTGGGGATTATTTGTGTCATCTAGAGCTGCCTACCACAGTTTCCATTTTTATTGGCTTATACCTACCTGTGTCATTATCACACTTATTGCAGCTTTATAATAAATCTTATTATCTAGAAGGGTAGGTTCCCCTACTTATTGATTCTTCGAATGTGTCTTGCCTAGTTGGGGATCTAAAAATAGAATCTAGGGATGCCTGGGTGGCTCAGTCAGTTAAGGGTCTTCCTTCAGCTCAGGTCATAATCCTGGGGGTCCTGGGATCAAGCCCTGCATCAGACTCCCTGCTCAGTGGGGAGCCTGCTTCTCCCTCTGCCTCTACCCCCTGTTTGTGTGTGCTCTCTCTCTCAGATAAATAAATAAAATCTTTTAAAAAATAAGTAAATAAATAGAATCTAGAACCAGCTTATTCAGTTCAATGAAAAAGCCATCAACATTTTTTTAACTGTATCACGTTAATAGATTCATTTACAAATCAATATTTTATGATCTGGAGTCTTCCCATCCACTTATATGGTTTATCTCTCATATGTTGTGGGAAGTTCATGAGACGGTTAGAGTTAAAAAAACAGTGTAGGATGTCTTTTCAGTAAAATATCTCAGACAAATTTCTTCTGTCTGGGCTCCCTATGGAAAAATTCAGTGGTAACACACAGTGTACGGAGGGTTTGTGTTGCCTCAGTTCCTGGGTTAGCAGTTTTAAGGTCTATTTCCATGTTGAAGTTTTGTGGGTCCAGTACACTGCCTACTCTCTTCTTAAAAGAACAGCTCCTTTTGGGGAGCTACTGCTTCTCCCACTTCCACCAGGTGATTCTAACCCTGGCTGCCAATCACAGTACCCTGAGCACAAGAATAAGCACAGGTCCTAGTGTAGGCCAATCATAGCTCCTCCTTGGACCTTATCAAACTGGAATTCAAGGAGGTGGTCCCTCTCTCTCAGGTAAAAGGCTGAGAGGCTGAGAGCTCCAAGTTTCTAGACTGGAGAAATAAATAAGTGTGACAAAATGAAGTTGAGATGAAGAAAGAAGCTGAGATGAGATATGCAGAGATGTCTTGGTGTTGGCCAAGTGCCGGGTGCTAGATGTTTGGCCCCAGAAGCACCCCTGTCCTGCTTCAGTTTGATTAGGCGAGCCAGATAAACTTGCATTTTGCCCAACTTCTTGCAACCAAAATTCCTGAAATGCATCTATCTTCTTGCTAATTTACATAGACGTTGCCATTCACTTAAAAACCCTTTGTCAAATCTCATTCTACATTAATTTATTAACATAAAGCCCTTTTCTAAATTATGTTTATACTAATTATGATCATTTCGTCTTCTAACAACAGGAAATATGTATGGACCATGTGCTATGTGTCAGTCATCAAAGAACAGTGATAACTAAGTCTTCCAAGGAACACAAAATATATGCCTTAGAAAAATAATGTAGAACGTAAGTAGTGAAACCGGGACTTAAATCTCATTTGAACCCGACCAAAATCCTGCAAGGAAGCTCAGAGAGGGGCCAGTAATTACTCCATGCTTCTATAGCGTATAAATAGTGGAACCAAAACTCGAACCTGGATTTTCGACCAAATCAGAGTTGTTTTAATTATCCTGTACGGCTTAAACTGAGAAAATACTTTTGAATCCTTATACTTTAAAAAAGGATAGCTCCCAGTTCTCTTTCCATCAGGTTCCAATTTCCTACCAAGTTGCAACAGGGAGGTATGGGTGTTTCCTGAACTTTAACAATTAAACGCAAACAAGATCAACGAGCAATACTGAGAAATCACGCTTTCCACTCGGCAAGGTTTTTTTGTATCTCCCCCGCCCCCTCAAGAGCAAGGCACCTAGGGACTTGTAGTCTTGGGGTAGAGTCCTGTGGCCGGAGGGGCTGATTCACTGGGACCCAATCAGCAGAAAGCCAACTTGCTCTCTACGCAGCGATTGGCTGGAAATCAGCGACCGCCCTCCCCGCGGCGCCCTCTCGGCGTCGCGAGTTAAAGGCAGCACCCGGCCGGGAGGAGTGTGGGTGACTGTTCTGTTCTCGGGACCGTAGTCGGTGAAACAGCTTTGCGGCCATGGCAGAACCGCAGCCTGCATCCAGCGGCCTCAGCGACGAGGCTGCCCTCGGTTGCTGCTCTGACCCGGATCCCACCACCAAGGTTGGCGCAGAACCTACTTCTCCTGAGTAGCTGCCCCGGGGCGGGGCGGAGCGGGGTGTTGGGGGAGACGTGGGAAGCTCATCCCCTGGCTCAGCTAGGCCCGGCTCCGGCTGGGTTCGAACGCCATCGGGCCGCGGCTGCAGCTCCTGCCGCTTGGGGCGGACCAGAATGGGTCGGATGAAGGGCTAGGGCTAGGGGTGTCCAGTAGGAGATCGTGAGAGGATCCATTTCCCCAGAGAGTGCGACCCTGCTCGCATTAACTTAAGTTTATTTTGGGACGGTAACTAGAAGCCACGGCCAACCCCGAATCAGATCCCTTGACTCTGGTGTGCGTGTTCCTCGGGTCAATAGCTATGGCGGGTGAGAGCCGCTTCAGAACTCGCAGTCCAGGTTCGAAGGTCTCTAATCCACGCTGGCCCCTCCCAGCCTATTCTGGCTGCTGGCTTAACTCCTGCAAACTAATCATGGATCCCGCCGAGTTTAACCGCGCCCCAGAGTTCGCCTTTGCTTGGTTTTTATGCTCACGGCCACACTTCTGTCCTCCCTGTGCTTGGTGGCCCCAGGAGAAGTGACAGTAATCGTGAAGCTTAGATCAAGGGGAATCTTGGGGATTCCTTCACCGACCCTCTCATCGCAACAGAGACCCAGTAAGAGGAATGACCTGTTGCATCCCTCCGGCTTGCTTAACATGTCTGCACTGAGTCAGGGTAACTCACTCAGGTGTGGTGCCTCCACGCTGGCAAGGTTTGACACAGCAGCCGCTTGGGGGGTTTATTGCAGTGTCCGTGTCAGTAAACGCCTTTGTACTTTTTTTCATTCGATGGGGGAATTTCTGAATTCCTGAGGATTGAATATCTGTCGATGAGTTTGCCCCCTGCTTGCTCTTTGTCTTCGGGGTGAAGAGTCAGACACCTCTGATTGCTAAAGCCTTTGACTGGCGCCTGGAACTTAGGAAAAATAGTAGTCACTGCAAAGTTCAGGGGGAAGAAAGAAAGAACGAAATAACGTTTCCTCCTACACTCATTTCCCTTGTATACCCTCTAATGTATTATTATTATTATGTAATATAAGTACCTAGTTATTTCACATAATATAAACTGAGCCATTCAGTATAAATTAGTGTCCTAGATAACTGGGGATTTTGTGTATGGGGCTATTTAAAAAGATTTCAGAGATACCTTTAGAAAATTTGTTAAATACATTTTCTTGCATTCTTAACTTAAACTACACATCATTGAAATTTCTCTTGGTTATATGGAGTAATTACTTCTTAAAATTAATAATTTTTGGTCCTGAAATACCATGTGGGGGACATAAAATTGATAGGTAGTGGCAGCTGGTATACCTCCAGTGTGCCAGGTCCTGCGTTGTTGTTTGAAGTACATTACTTAATTTAGTCCTCAGGACAACCCTATGAAGAAGGCATAATTATTATCTCTAGTTTACAAATAAGGAGACTCCAGCATAGAAATACCGAGTAACTTGTCCAGAGAGGCACCTGCACTCTCAACTTCCACCCTTGTTCTGCTTCTGGAGTACTGAGGTCAGCAATTTTGGAACTTGACACAAAGTAAAGTAAAAGACCTAAGTGAATTAAATTCAGCCTGATGGGGATTTTGGCGGGGTACTGGGATGAACAAGATGAGGTTTCTTCACCAAAAGGACACCAACTCTAACATAAGACGGAGCTGGGATTAATGTGCTGTTAAATTATAAAGTACCCTGGGAGTGCAAGAAATTTTGGAAGGTAGCCTCTGTGCTATGTTATATACCTGGGGTATTTGATGTTTGAAGACCTACATTCAAATCCCCAGATCTGCCATTGGCTGTAGTGATCTAAACAGGGCACTGGGGCTGAGTTTGTAAAAGCAATATAAAGAGAGCTGCAAGGAGGATTAAGTCTGTTGTTTTTCTCTAAACTATGAAAAGTGATACAGTTGAACTCGGGATCAGGGAGTACATCAGCCAGAAGGTGGGGGTGGGCCTAGGTCTTGAAAGATGAGTAGGGTTCCAGAATCATCTAGGAGACTGAGTTACGTGGGAGGGGACATTCTAGGTGGAAGAAAGACCTGAGCAAATACGGTGAGATGCAGTAAGATGCAGTGCAGGTGTGTTTTGGAGAGGTGAGTTACATGTTTCTGAAGTTAGGTTATCTAAACAGTGGAGCTGTGGTGGAAAAGGCTAGAATGGGAGGTTGAAGCCTCCCTTTCAATAAGAGAGCTCTGAATGTCACATCTAAGGAAGCTGGATTTAAATAAGTAGTAGGTGGGGTGCCTGGGTGGCTCAGTGGGTTAAGCCGCTGCCTTCGGCTCAGGTCATGATCTCAGGGTCCTGGGATCGAGTCCCGCATCAGGCTCTCTGCTCAGCAGGGAGCCTGCTTCCCTCTCTCTCTCTCTCTCTCTGCCTGCCTCTCTGTCTACTTGTGATCTCTGTCAAATAAATAAATAAAATCTTTAAAAAAAATAAAAATAAAAAAATAAATAAGTAGTAGGGAATCATTCAGGATTTGAAAGCATTTTATAGAGTACTTTGGAGGACTCCAGGCCTGGAGGTGATGAGGCAACCTGAAAGGTTCTTCCAGAAGATGAAATAAGTGGTGAGGGCCTGGTTTGGAAAGGAGAGGGTAGTGGTGGTAGAACATCAACTTTCCTATTGATTGTCTGCATCTTTGTCATGAAGGACATTCCTTGGCCTGTCCTTGGCCAAGGAATGTACAGTCATACCACTTCCTGGGTAGTCTTATTGGCCAGCTGTCTTCATGAGGCCAAATACTTCTTTTCCCAAGTGATAATCTCCTGAAAAAAAAATTTTTTTTTATAATCTCTATCAGTGTCCTTTAATGTAATAATTTGAAGTCTTATCCCATCTGAGTGGTAAGGGAAAACTTTGAGTGTTGGTGACACTTAAGCTTAGTTTTACCAAATACAGAGGAAGCAGCTAGGTAGAATTGGGTGCAGGGGTAGGTGGAAGAGAGAATGGAAAGGAGGAAGGAAGGGGAATGGCCAGATGGATGAATGACTGTTCTAGGCAGAGAGAATCATAGTAAATATAAAAAGTACAAGACATCAGAGAACTGATGCAGGAATCTACAGATGACACAAGACTGAAGTTGTAAGCAGTGGAAGTTGAGGGGAAGGTATGCAAGACAATCATCCGGATGCTCAAAGAAAATATGAGCATCCCCCCACCCCATTATGCTTGTTTTTCTCACCCTGTAAAGATTTCTATTTGGTAAATATATTTTATAATATATATGTTTTATTAGTATATTTGTATGTGTATATAATTAAAATAAATACATATTTAGAGGAGGTGCATGCTCTCTTTTTAAACTGATAAAAGTGTACCGGAAACATTCAAAATGAACAGTTTAGGGGAGTGCTAACAAGTGATGAAGTTAGAGAAGTATGCAATAACCACATGTGCTTGCCTTTGGGACTTTCCTTTATAAGCTGTGAAGTACCACTAAAGGAATGATTTTTATTTTATTTATTTGAGAGAGAGAGAGTACGTAGGGTGTCGGGGGAGGGGGGGTAGAGGGACAGGAGAGGGAGAGAATCCCAAGCAGAATAACCCTGAGCATGGAGTCCAATGCAGGGCTCAGTCTCACAACCCTGAAATCTTGACCTGAGCCAAAACCAAGAGTTGGATGCTTAACCTACTGAGGTACCTGGGTACCCCTGAAGTAATGATTTTTTTTGAAGTCATGATTTTTAATCCAGAAATGACACAGTTGGGTTTCACTATAGGAAGATGACTGTGGTACTTTATGGGGAAGTCAGTGGATTGCATCTAGGTAAGCCTGCAAGAAGCAGAGACCAGGGAGGAAGTAGTAGCTCAAAAGCACTTGAGGAAGATAATGCTTATTAGAAAGACACCGAGCAAGAGCCCGAAGGAATTTAAGGAGTCAAGTTGGTAGGACACTTGGGCTGGATTAGAGAGAAGTGGGGAGGAAGAAATCTAGGAAGACTCCAGGTATCTGACTTGGGCTGACAAGGGATTCTAGTGACACTAAGCTAAGTACTTTCATGCATTATCCCGTATACTTTGCAACTCAACCCTACAAGCTGAGAACTATAATTATCCCTCTTCTAAAGATATGAAAACTAAGGTTCAAGAAAAGTAATGATTTACTTAAGTAATGGTGGTAGAGCCAGTATTTGAACCATATTGCTTCTGAAGAATTATTTCTCTCACACTCATGTGTTTTCCCTCCCTTTGCACAAGATTTTTAAAAGCCTTGTGATCCTGAGGGCTTCTAGGATTTTCCTGTTTCTGTTATCTGTTGTAAGAGCAGTCTGGCAGTTATGTTTCCTAATATCACAGGTAATTTTAAAATTTTTAAAAATTTCCTTTGGGTCTCCTAGCTGTTTCTGCCTCCCTTATCTGTAGGTTGAGTATACTTGAAGTACAGTTTTGGCTGTTGAATTATAGAGTGGGAAGGAAAGAACCACATGAAACCAATGTAGATAAGATAGCATAAATGTAAAGGAGTGGCTGAATTATTTTCAGGAACAATTTATCACATTCTGGCATAGGTTGAGTCAGGCAAATAACACTGGAAAGAGGAAGATAGTGAAGAAAAAAATATATCAAACCATCTTGTACATCAACCATGTGCTCCAGCTCTTACATAGAAAACAATTTTGTTCCCCTCAGATATGCTTGTATTTCCAAAAGGGTCTTTCCAAAAGGCACTTGTGACTTTAAAAAGTCAGGAAAAAAACAAAACTTGATCCATTTTTTGTTTTACAGGAGATGGGATACCTAGGGGTGAAGAGTTAAGCCCTGAACCTTTTGATGAGAATTTGACAATTTGGTTAACTCTAGCTATTTCCCAAGAAACAGAAATGGTGTTTGTTGCTTAGCAATATTGCTTATGATAAAAAATAACTTGATAGGTACATTGCATCTGGAGGGAGAATTACCAACACCCAATAGGAAGTCATAGCTTTGGGCTTCCCTGAATGTAGTGGCTCTTAAAACTGTCCCTTGTGGAG